AGTAGGTGGAATAGAAAAATAGAATGCCCACTTAGAACTCGTTAGGATATGCTCTAACCATTGCTTTGATACCATATTAGAAAGTGAGTTTTTAAGCCTAACTCATCCCCACAAAACCGGCTTGTAGGGTGAGGTTTGCACCAAATTATAAACTATGAATTGGCCTTATCTCTAGTCGATGTGAGACTTCCAACACACCCTATTCACACCGAAGTATAGACATCTTGTACGTGATAGCAGAAATTGGGTGGTCTGATAACGGCCCGATAACGGGTGGAAGAGAAGAATAGAGTGCCCACTTAGAACTCGCTAGGATAGGCTCTAATCATGACTTTGATACCATATTAGAAAGTGAGTTTTTAAGCCTAACTCATCCCCACAAAACCGACTTGTAGGGTGAGGTTTGCACCCAATTATAAACTATGAATTGGCCTTATCTCTAGTCGATGTGGGACTTCCAACATTATCTTTGAAGTTTTTGGTTGATACTTGTCATTAGATCATTGACAAGTTCATAAAAAAAAATTTCTATTATCTTGTTGAAGTTTCAAACTTTATTTTGATTCGAGTAAGTTTTCTTCGATTGTGTTTTTTGTTCTTTGGGCTTTCAAAACCAATATTTCACCTTTGTTTCTAGTGTGTGGTAGTCTTGTTTTTCACTTAAACATAATGGATAAATAACTACTAAAAACTTTTAAGCAAAGACCTCAAAAAGAGTACCAAAGAGAGCTTAGAAAAGTGCTGAAAAATTGAGTGCATTGACCACTACCATTACTTTTGTTATGAATATGTTTGGGAATGTTTTGCTCACTGTTTTGAGCATTTTATTTCATTTCCCAACAACTTAAGTCTTGGCCAATGATGCTAAAAGAGTGATCTTAATGTCCCATTTGCTAAAAGCTTTCCAAAGACAAGAAGCACCCACTTGATATTCTAGTACTTTTTGTTTTTGTGCATGTACTCTAGTATCTTTCTTTAAGACTTCTTTTGATTGCTTAACCTTCTTTTCTTACCATTTAATTTCTTGATTGCCTTCTTATTTTTCTTGGTTTTGTCATACACAAACTCCTTTTGCAAAGCCTTTATTGTTTTTAAACCTTTTTTTGCTTTTCCCTTTGGACTCCATCTTCTTGGTTTTGTGCATTATTTTTGGTGTAGGTTCTATTTTTTGTGGTGAGCCAATATCTTGGAGGTATCATCCTAGGTGGTGGAGACCTAAGGGGAGCTTGAAGTCTAGAGTGGTAGCCAAGAAGAAAAGGGAGAAACATTTGGAAAGAAGAACAATTTATTTGTATTTCTTTGCTTTGTATTTGCTTCCTTTTTGCCTTGTAACTTTCGACCTTGTTAGTTGTCTTGGGGGAGTCTTTGGTACTCAATCCCACCTCCTAACATGAACCTCTAAACCTTAGTGAATTGCGTTTTTTTAGTTGATTACATTGAAGGAAACCAAAGTTCTTCTAACTTAGTCGTTAGATCGCATACTTAGTTTATTGCTTTCTTTAATTTTGATAACTTAGTGTGTGTGTGTCTACTATATATTTCAATTTTAATTCCCTTTGAGAGGTTTGGAGTAAGAGTACCTAAGGTAAACTTTGGCTAGGAAAGACTTGGTTCTTAAGCAATCATTTGTGATTCACCTCCCTTTCTTGGAAGTGAACTTGGGTTTTTTTGGTTCTTTAAGTCTCTTAAGGAATCTCTTTTGAATTACTAAGTAATTATTTATACATAACATGTTTTTTTTTGAAAAAAAAAATGATTTTTTATATTAGTTTGCATTTAAGTCATAGTGAGGATGAGCTACATTATAAAGTTGAGAGTGACATTTCATTCTTTGGTGAGAGTATTATTGCATTGTCATATTTAGCTTAGGAGAAAAAGATACAAGAGCTTCATCCATTCTTTGTTAAGCATAGTAAATATTATATCCTTAGTTTATGCATTTCTAGGTTTGTAGGACATGTAAGTGAGTGGTGGGACCACAGACAATCAAGTGTTGAGAGGAGTAGAAATCTCAAATTAAAGATTGATATGATTTGAGAGCATGCATGAGAAACAAACAAGATGACACAGATCTTCTTATACCTATCATAATATGTTTTGAACATAATTTCAATTTTATCATTATATCTACCAATTATGACAGGTTTTCTAAAATACGTTATAATAACTTTTACTTTTATTACAAAAATGTCATCAGTCATCTTATTATTACAAATGAATTTCATATTTCCTATGGTGTAATAAATTGTTATAAAATCTTTTTTTTTTACTTGTACGTTCACCATTAAACAAAATTAATATTTAAATAGTAAATATAATATTTAAACCTCTTAACGTAAAAAAAGATAGTTAAACTATAGAATTGATTTTCACGAAAAATTAAAAAATAAGGTAAAATGTAATATATTTACATTTGGTCAGATAAAAATAAAATCTATTTGTTGATAAAAGAGGAGATGTGAATGTAATAATATTCATTTCTAAAAAGGGAAGGCTGAGTAAAAGTATTTGTAAGTTGTTTACAATATAAATCATGTATTATTTATGAAATCCTATTCAAAATAAGAACAAACAATTGTATTCAAAATATAATTAAAGTGTAAGTATAATTTTTTAGTTAGATACATTAANTATGACAGGTTTTCTAAAATACGTTATAATAACTTTTACTTTTATTACAAAAATGTCATCAGTCATCTTATTATTACAAATGAATTTCATATTTCCTATGGTGTAATAAATTGTTATAAAATCTTTTTTTTTCACTAGTACGTTCACCATTAAACAAAATTAATATTTAAATAGTAAATATAATATTTAAACCTCTTAACGTAAAAAAAGATAGTTAAACTATAGAATTGATTTTCACGAAAAATTAAAAAATAAGGTAAAATGTAATATATTTACATTTGGTCAGATAAAAATAAAATCTATTTGTTGATAAAAGAGGAGATGTGAATGTAATAATATTCATTTCTAAAAAGGGAAGGCTGAGTAAAAGTATTTGTAAGTTGTTTACAATATAAATCATGTATTATTTATGAAATCCTATTCAAAATAAGAACAAACAATTGTATTCAAAATATAATTAAATTGTAAGTATAATTTTTTAGTTAGATACATTAATCATTTTAGAAACTTCGTATAACTATAAAACATTTTAAATATTTTTTGATGTTATAATATGCTCGTTTCTGAATAATTAAAGAGAATTATTGTGTATTATAAACAGTTATTGAATTATTGTAAGAGTAGAAAAATTGGAAAAGTTCGTATAATTTGAAAAGTGAAACAAATGATTGGTATCAAAGGAATATCTATTATAGTATCTTTAATAAACATGCTAGCAACATTACATATATTATTGTACATATAATTCACTTATAAAGAAGTTATCCACGTGCAGGGATTTGAGTTAACAATGACTACCAGTAATGTATTTGTTGAGAAAGTGGAGTTAATTTAACTAAATTGCTCTAAAACGTAACATGTGTATGATTTTTCTTTATTTTGTGTATGAAAAGTTAAAGTGAATTATGGATTAATTATATTTTTAGTTTTAAATTTAGACGCGAATTAATCGAATTTGAATGTTAAACACATTTTATGATGAGGTTTGAATTGTTTATATTTTACATTTAGTATTTTACATTTCTTTGTTTAAAAAGTTTGAGGGCGATCCTAAATAACAATACTTCCCTTTACTTCTGATCACAAATGAATTTGGTTATGTGATGTTATCTTACAAGATTCTGAATGTTTGTATGATGAATAGAATTGGGAAGGAGATTTCAAAGGTTTTGGTGCAGTGGAATTCATTGTTGGTTACCACAACGTTGAAGACAAAGTTGCTATAAAAGAAAGAGTAATGTAACCAATACAGAGGAAGGTTCTCTATATATAGAGAAAAATAGTCATGTTTTAAGAGATGAAAAGAGCAAAAGAATGCACAAGAGGATGAAAGAACTTCTATTGGTACGTAGGAATTTTCTCCTCCTCCTGATTTCCTTTCTCTTTTAACGGTCTTTTGCTACTCCAATCATCTTCTTCCTGAACCCTTTTTTGAAATTCATATTGCCTTTGATGTCAGGTATGAGATTGTAGGTTCCACAATTTATAATGGAGTTTGATGGAATCTTGTTGAGCTTAACATCATCTTTACTGTGCTCTATAAAATCTGGCCGATATCATGTGTGTTGTCCATAAAATATGGCCGAGCTCATCAATTTAGCCCAAAATCATGTTAATATTTATCACAGTAAAAAAATAATTATAAATATTAACATGGACAGATCACTTGTAAAAAAATGTTATGAAAGTATAATTACCCATTTTATAATTCCTTGTCTCAATACCTGACATTTTATATATCACTAATACATTGTTAATTTGAAAACTGAAAGAGATGATTGGTATCAAAAGAATATCTTTTATTGTATATTTAATAAAACTACTAACAACATATAGGAATGTTTTCTTACAAAAGGAACGAACAAATAAAAGAATCTCTGATATTGACTAAAAGCTAAACGTAGATGACACGTTGAGCGGCGGTTTTAGACGATGGTTGAACAGGCAGAGGTTTTAGGGTCGACGAGAGCTGGCAAGAGATACTTCCTTCCGTCGACCCCATTGGCATTGTAGCTGGCACCGGTTGTGGGGTCCACCAAGAGGTTCCCTGCATAGCCAGGGTAGGCGCCCTTACCGTAGACGCCGGTGCAGGCGGAGGCGGCTTCCAGCGGAGCCTCTTTGGGTCCCTGGAAGTAGCCGTTCCCGAAAGGGTTAGTCACAGTGCCGGCCAAGAGGCTAGCCACGTTGATGACCATGCCGTCAATGCCAACATCGTTGTTGGGTGCAACCAGAGCTGGGCTCTGGGGACCGTAAATGGGTTGGTGGAATGGCCAGGCGCATTGCCCCGGGCACTGGGTTTCAGAGTTACCCACCCAAATGTATGCGAACTTGTACCTCTTTCCGTTGATGCGCGCCCCCACGGAGGACCCGTGAGTCCCGCACCTACTGGAGCAGAATCCTTCCACTGCAACGTCAGAGGAGGTGAGAACAACGTTAATGGCGTTTCTCTGTTGACCCTTGGATGCGAGTTTCACGATTTGATCGGTGGTGAGTGATTTGCCGAAGGAGTAGTTTTCATCGAGGATTATGGTACCCGGAGAGAGGGCGAGTTTGGGGGATGGGGTTTTGTAGTACTTTTCGGTGGCTTTCCACCACGTGTCAACCGATGGTTGGGGCGTGACGGATTCGGGAGATGAAAGGGAGATGATGAAGTCATTGAGTATGGCTGTCTGGTAACGCTTGAATTTGCCATACCAAATGAGGTTGACGGAGATATTGCCTGTGAGGAGGGGTCCTCTGTGGTATTGGAACTTCAGTCCGGGTTCTGACTCAGTGAGTTTCCTGGCTGAAGTGAAAGGAAGAATTGAAACAGCGAGAAAAAAACTAAGGAGAAAGCTTAAGGATGTAAAAGAGGCCATTTTGTATTTTGTAGAGAGAGGAAATAAATTGGTAGAAGAGTGAGAAAGGATCTGAATTGATGGAAAGAGAGAGGTGGTAGTAGAGATATTTATAGTGTTATGAGATACGTGATTGAAGGGAGAAAGGCGTAACGGTGAAGTGAGGAGCGGAGTTAAGTGGTGGAGGTGGCAACTTGAAAACGCGTTTCTGTTCTGTCATGATTAAGCAAATTGTGGGACAAGGTTTTTGTATGGTCGCAAAGTTAGTTAAGCGGAGACAGGGCATGTAAAGCTAAGTGGAGCATAAGCAACTGTAATAAACAGCTGTTATAAGGGACAAATAGACAAACCCGTGTTCATTTTGTAATTTGTGAAAGGCAAGATCCGTCTTTTTAATTTTATTTTATTTTTTATAGTAAAAGTCTGATTGGTTGAGATGGAATACATTGACTCTCTAAAGATCGCTCTCCTGTTCAAGTGTGCAAGAAATGTATCTTTTAGAATCTGTCATGTAAAAGTGACATAAAGTTACAAATCACTTCTAATATAGACCCGTGATAGATGGGAATTGTTTCTTATTCAGCCTAAGCATTCAAATTATAGTCCTTAAGGCTGTGTTCGTTTTAAGAAAATTTTCTGTTTAGAGAGATTTGCGAGCGAGTAACTAAATTTGTTATGTGTTCGGTTCAACTGAAATGTGGACGGATTTGCGATGAAATGCGGGATAGTTACACTGTTCAGTCACCCGCAATTGTGCGAAGATTTGAGTGGATTCTCGCGAAAAAGTTGTATGTTGCCCTCTAAAAACGACGCGACGTAATCGGTTACAGTAGTGTAATTGATTAGAGAAGAATAAAAAGTTTTGGCGGGTAGACGTAATCGGTTACGGCATACGTAACCGGTTACGCCCGGTTATGCAATCGCGCGAGGGTCGAACAGCGGAGGCAACTGGCGGCGTCTCGGGCCACAGCTCTCGACGACAGATTCGGTAGAGGCACGGCGAGGAGAGGCGATAGTATTTCTCTCTCCCGCGTGACCAGCGATGGTCCCTTGGCCCGGGTGGGCATCCGGTCGCTCGGCTCGCTATGGTCGGCTTCCCTCAGGTGGCGAAGACGCGAAAAAGACGAGAGATAGGGAAGGTGGTGGCGCGATGGCCGTTTTGGCGCGGTGGCCGGTTTGGTGGCACGCAGGGAAGACGCCCCGTCGTCGGAGTTCTAGGCTGGAAGGTGGCGTGGTGGCTGGATTCGAAGAAGCGCTGGCGACGTGCCTGGGGCCGAAGGGAAGGGCGCCATTCTTTCTCGCTCTGGGGAAGGTTCTGTGAGAGCAATGGAGAGGACGATGCTCAATCTAGGATTTCCTAAAAAAAAAAACGAATTGTGCCAAACCCGTGAAACAAAAAAAACAGGATTATATTTTCCTTGCACCCTCAGCTTTCCTTGCACCTCATCTTTTTTTCCTGTTTTTTTTCGAAAAAAAAAAATTAATATTATTATTTTGATATTATAATTTTAAAAACTCTAACGTCTTATAAAATTGAATATATTAATATTTTCCTAATTTTATTAAAATAAGTTTGATTATTTACATTTTTTATAATTTTTATTTAACATTAATTTTTATAATTATTCATATTTTTTTTTCTTTATTAAACATCTTTAACAATTAAATTAATATATTAATAAACAGCATTTTAGTATTATTTTATAAATTAGGGGGCTTTTGGTAATCTTTTAATTTTCTATCAATTAAACTATTTTTTAAAAATCTTCAATCAAAATCAAATCTACAATAATATTCTCACAAACTTAACTTCCAAATCCACTCTCAATTACTCACCTACACAATTTCCACTCAAAAACAACAACAAAAAATTAAATCCTCAATCCACTCAAATCCATTCAATCATCTCCCCCAAATTCATCTCCTTCAAATCAATCCAAACGAACACACATGCCTCAGCACAATGACAAGTGACTTTCCTTAAACTAATATTTTTAGAGCATTAAATTTAAAAGATTATATTTTTAATTTCTTTACTATTTAAACTATTTCCATTTTAATTTTTTAAATGCTAAACGTTTTTAATCTACAACATAAATGAATACTACAACAGCACAATTCATTATTCTTTCCTCTCTAAAAAGGTTTAAAATATTTCATTTACGAATATTTTTGTCGGAGCTTAAATGTTTAAAATATACTCTCCTTCTGCATTTTCTCCTAGTTATAATATAAAAATATTAAAGACTATTTTTTAATAACCATGTTTTTAATAATATATTAAAATTATATTGTTTTTTAGTTTTTTTTAAGCCTAGTTTGGATACAAACATTAAAATCATTTTGTTTTAAAAATTTTGGATTATATTTTGAATCCTCAAAACTTTGAAATTGAATGATATAGTTCTTCTAATTTTAATGACAATAACTTCTTTTAATTAAAAAACTGTTTAAACTTCTGTTTAAAACTAATAATATTTCATGTAGAATGTAACCAATGGTGTAAAGACATTCAAAACCTATCGTAAAATGTGTTTAACTTCAAAAAAATCTAAACAGTTGGATTAATTCCTTTGATACAATAATAGTTATTCCTTTGATACCAATCTTTTGTTTCACTTTTCAAATTATACGACTTTTCCAATTTTTCTACTCTTACAATAATTCTATAACTGTTTATAATACACAATAATTCTCTTTAATTATTCAGAAACGAGCATATTATAACATCGAAAAAATATTTAAAATGTTGTATAATTATACGAAGTTTCTAAAATGATTAATGTATCTAACTAAAAAATTATACTTACAGTTTAATTATATTTTGAATACAATGGTTGTTCTTATTTTGATAGGAATTTCAATAAATAATATACATGAGTTATAATTGTAAACAACTTACAAATTACTTTTACTCAGCCCCTTGTTAGCCCTGGTTAGAAATGAACACTAGTGGAAAAATGACTTTTTATAACGTACAAAAATGATCTTTTATATCGTAGTTATTGGGGATATAGTTCTGGGCGATATAGTAAGTGTGCGCATTTTATAACGTAACAAAAATTTACGTTATAATATGTTAAACATATTATAACGTAGTTTCTGAAGTACGTTATCAATAGCGCAGTTTATTATAACAAATTTTTCATTGTGTCCGTTATAATAGGTGGAAGATATTATAACAGTAGAAAATTTTGTACCTTATAATAGTTATATATTATTACGTATAGATTAATTGTACGTTATAATATGTGATCAACGTACATATCATACATTGCTTAGTAGCGTTATAATAAATGTCTTTTTTTTAACAAAGTGATTATTAAAATTTGGACATCGCACATGAAATTATAATAATATTCCTTGTTATTATCATCCTTCTCCAAATCCATTATAAAAAATATAGCTTTAAATAAACTTAAATTTTATTGAAACTCTAGACAAAATAGAATTGCATTTCTAAATATTAATCGTCCTAAATATTTAATACAATCATTTATACATGATAAGCTATATATTACATCAAAATTTACATTAATGTACATACATCTATTTTAAGTTGGTGCCTAAGTTTCTACTAACACTTAAACAAAAAAAGCCCAGTTCGCTTCTAATGTCCTTTCGCATGTCTGCAGCTTCCATGGGAGATAATCATTAAAGATCTTACAACAAAAATCATCAGAGTTAAAAAACAATATTTGTAACCGATAGTTGGATTAAAATTTTAGTTTAGTATTTAATAAAAACGCATTATTCCATGATTCAATAATGTTTTGGTAACAAATAATGGTTAATCATGTGTTTCATTACATAATACCACACTCATTAGCTATCGCTCCTCAATTGTGAGTCGACACTACTGCAATTAAATAAAATTAACACATGAAGTAGCCTCATTCAAATCAAAGACTCACAAATATCAGATTATACTCTAGCCTAGCCTTTGTCAACCATGTAGCTTCTGTATATTTTGCAAAAAACCAAAATTTCAGCACAAACCAACAAACAAACAACCCAATTCCTCATAAAAATACAATCACAAAACAACAAAACAAAGGAAGGTGAACTTCTCTTACATTAGGTGGTGATTATTTGCATCTTCTTCTTCTAGAAATGAGATGGAACAACCACCCGCAACCGAGCTTGAATGATGCTTCCAAAGACCTATAGCAAAAGTTTTGACATCCCATCACATATAATAATAATTAATAGGAAGGAATCAAAATAAAAAGGAGAAAACTTTCGCTTGCTCTATATAATATTTTTGATGGACAATGTGTTAGCTTTCTTTGCAAGGAACATAAGAAACTACCAGACGAAAACGATCAGTTAACAATAACTACGCAATTGGCCAATGACCGCCTACAAGTTTAGAATATTCTTAATTAATAAAAGAAACTTTTAAACTACTCATCGAAAAATTTAAATAAAAATTATGTACTTACTTATGATTGCAAGGTTAAGGTGTCTAAATCAGACCTCCTTTAACCAGGCCTTTTTTTCAACATTTCTTATCAAGTACTTTTGCACCTCCTCTGATTTATTTCCTACAGTTTTTGAATTATAACATATCAAGAAATCATAGATAGTAAGCATTTCCTTCTCTCCGATGCAGAGGTGGATGCAAAATACCTTTCATATCAACAAATATGTTCAATCTTTCCTCCGCCTCTTTTAATAATAACAAATAGATTTTATTTTTATCTAACCAAATATAAAAATATTACATTTTACCTTATTTTTTAATTTTTCGTGAAAATCAATTTTATAGTTTAACTATCTTTTTACGTTAAGAGGTTTAAAGATTATATTCTTGTTTCTTACTATTTAAATATTAAATTTGTTTTATGGTGAACATTTTTATTCTACAAATACATGGATAATACATCACAAATCATTATTTTTTTTCTATAGAAAGGTGTAATAATTTGTATAAAAGAATATTTTGTTCGGAACTAAATGGTTAAAATATATTCTCCGCATTTCCTCCTATTTATAATATAAAAATATTTTTTTTAATATAAAGATATTATAAAGTGAAATCAATCAATTTGTCTAGAATTTTTGGTATACTTGTATTATAATTCA